GTTCACTAATATAAGAGCAATACATAATTTACATGAAAGGACCAGGATGCCCCTGATTAGTGATGGGACACCCAGTCTAATAAAACACAAGATACAATTAGGCCCAGTTACTCAGGCCCATTAACTAGAGACTCTAATACCCAGCCCAGACAAGAGAATAACAACATATCAGCCGAACCAACAATGTGAAGTATAAATTATCAGGACATAATTGCAAAATTCTGTAAAATGGTTGAAGAATTGAAATATGCATTATATCTTAGGAGTTAGGAAACTGAAATAAAGCTTATTAATACTTTGAATTACAAATTTTGGTGATACTTATTTTTTTTTATTTGTAAATCTTTTATAAATATCATCGCTATTTAAAAATACCAATTTTAGTGATTAATTAATTATTTTCTTTCTTTTATAATTTTTGGATGATTTAGTGCTAATAAGAGAAAATTCATGAAAGGTTATTTAAAAAGATAAAATTTAGAATATTTTATTTTCATGTGTTATTGTAATATTGTGTAGTGGGTGTGATCATTCTTGGCCCGGCCCAGAAACTTGGCCCAACCCGCAAATTCCCAAGCCTAGGCCCAAGTTTTTGTGTGCAAGCCCGGATCAGCCCGGGCCCGCATCAAGCCTAGAAAATTTTGGGTTGGGCTTGAGACCAACACTTCAAGCCCAACTCAGGCCTGGCGGCCTTGGCCCAGCTCGCAATATAATATAATATGTATTTTTAAATATATATTATAACATTATATTATATTTGTTATATATATACAAATATATTTTATTTTATACTAAATGTTTATTATTTTATATAAGATATAAAAATTTTAAGTTTTAACATATAAATAAATATTAATTAGTTGACACATGTCAATACATGTGTGAACACTTAAACCAACTCAAGTATGTAAGTTGTCCTCCTAGGCTTCATTCTCATTGCCTAAGCAATGTGGGACTTGGAAAAACACTCACTGGCAGCACTCATTATTTAGTGAATCCAAGTCCCACATTGCTCAAGAATGGGAATGGAGGCCTTGCCTTCATCTATAAAGGATAGGTAAGCCAAGCCAAACCAACTCTAAGAATTAAATGAGGCCCATGCCTTTTTTTGTCCATTGGCCCAAAGCTTAGCCAAGCCCAATTTGCCTTGGGCTTGTGCCATATTTTTTTTTTGCATATATTAATTTAATTTAAAATTAAAAATCTAAATAATTAAATTTTTATTATTTGATGTCATAGGCTTGGAAAGCCCTAAGCCCGGCTTGAGCCCATGTAGGGCCGGGCTTGGGCTTGCAAACTAGACTTGGGGTGTGCTAGTGTGGGCTAGGCTAGACCTGGGCCTAGGTTAAAGCACTTATCATTAGTGCTAATTGCTAAACCCGGCTCGACCCATGATCACCCCTATTGTGTAGTTGTAAAAACTCTTACTTCTCAGTGGGGCCATAGGGGTGGCAATTTTTCACCCAACCCGCCATTTATTTGGCGGGTTGGAAATGGGTTGATCACCCATTGGGTCAATTTAAATGGGTTGGGTTGTGGGTAACCATTGGGTTAACCACTAAAGATGTAAGTATTAATTCGTTAGCCATTTTTTTTAATTTTCTTCATTTGAATGAAATAATTTATAATTAATGCATTAATTTTCTATTAATTATTGACTAAAATTAATTTTGTCTTGAATCAACACACTTCACCCAAATTGACATAAATCCAAATCAACTTGACCCGAGTTTGGACCAGCTCAACTTGGTCTAAATATGAACAGACCTGATCACCTCGGTTCGATTCGCTTGGGTTGGTCAGCCTAGACCGAACATGACCTGACCCAGGGCAGGCCGATCCGGGTCGACCCGAATTTGAAACTGTGACGGACGGGATGGTTCGTTCTGGTCCGACCCAAAATCTGCCCCGCTTGTTTTCCCTAGTTTTGGATTGTCCGCTCAGGCTCGTATCTGTACAACCCGACCCGAATCTGAACATGTTTGATTTACTTCTTTTGAACCACTTCGGGCCAGTCGGTTTGGTCCCAAACCCGAGCACAAACCTGATATGGGCCAGTCCAAGTCAATCTGCCATTGACTGAACCGGTCCGGTTTGGTCCGACCAGACTGATCTGGATCTAAACGGTTCAACCACTCTTGAACCTAAGTGGTTCAGTCAAGCCTGAAACCCGGGCATAGTCAACTGGCTTCGTAGCTTGTGTAAAAATAACATGCATGTAATATGATTTGAACCTTCACCACTTGTGTAAATAGCAACTACTATTACCACCAAGCTATGACCAACTTATTTATCAAGAGGGAGTTAGTTTTTTGTTTTAAGTACATAAATATAAGATTAATGGGTTTGGGCGGGTTGGACTGGGTTAAAGCGGGTTTGGGTTGAACCCAACCCATTTAAGTTTATATAACTGGGTCATTAATGGGTTGGCGGGTTTTAGATGGGTTGGGTTGAAACTCAACCCAAACCAAACCCAACCCAACCCAACCCAACCCGCCCAATTGCCACCGCTACTTCTCAGGTAAGCAACCCAGGTTTGAATCCTTGCCACTACATATAATTTTTGTACACAAGTTTAGAATAGAAGTGCCAATAAGCAGTAAATATGTTGGAGGTTTTAAATGTAATTTAAATAGATATATTAATAGGCATTAAATAGACTTTTAAATATGTTTAAAAAAGTTATATTAATGGTCATTGAAGGAAGTTTTAACAGGTTCATTAACAGACATTAAATATGGAGTAGAAATTTTCAAAATTCAAATCAAATATTTTAAATTTTAAATATGACCTTATCAGACATGTATCAATATCTAAAACCTTCCCTCTAATTGCTAGGGCATAAAACAAGACTACTTAAAAATAGCACATCTGCACAAAACTCTTTGTGGAACATAGACATTATATCAACTAGTCAGGTTGGCACAGATACTAATATATCAAGGTTTAACCCAAGCAAAGCAGACATAGAATGAAACAGGTAATATTATAAGTTACAAAACCATTGGCAGAGGATACTCATTTATTTCAACTTTATCTCTCCTCACCCCAAGTGATGCAATTAGTCTCATTCTAATAACATGTTTAATTTACACAGGTTCTTCAATCATCAAATAAAGGCCATTTTTCAGTTGAAAAGTTGAATCACAGAGGAATTTAAGAATTTAAATGTTTACCTTTGATTCAGCACATCTCCTTAGCTTATCAGCATGCTTAGTGACACTCTGAAGAAAGAGCAAATGCTTGATTGTGAGCTCCAGCAGTGCATCGATACTGCACTGTGCAACCATCTCAAGATTTTCAGTGCCATATGAAAGAACAAGTATTTGCATGCATCATTCACCAAAAAAACTCAAGCAGAGACTGGCTATAAAATGGTTACCTTGGACCCATTAGGCACAAGCTCTCGAAGCTCTTTGACACGATCTTGGATCAGTTGTCTATCCCTTGGCCTAGGCCTACAAGTTTCACCAGGTCTAGTCCTCTTTCTATTTATTTTAGGTGGTTCTACTTGCCTTTCCAACTGCTCACTATGTGCACTTAGAGTTGTCAATGATAATTCTTTTTGGGACCTTACAACCCTTGATTCTGTTGAACCCCAGGTAGAAGCCAAGCTGCAATGTGAATCCTCTTCAACAGAAGATTCAGGCAGTCCACCTGCTGTACAAGGATGCTTAATGTGGGAAGGAAGCTCTTTTATTTTTTTAGTTGTTATTAGTGACTCTACTGATTTACAAAATGTGTCACTCTTAACATTGTTAGTACCCTGGCAAGCATTTGCAACCACTGCGTCTAGTAGATGTTCTGACCCACTCTCTAACATAAACTGGTTATAATCCATTCCCTCTTGGAGCTCAATTGGAATACCACTTCCTGCCCCCTCAGCCTCATTCCAAGGAAAACACTGCTGCTCTCTCCTAAAAGCTGGTCCAAGGGCTTCATGCAGCTCACAGACAGTAGAGAACTTAAGTGAATTGTCTACAGTATTTGTGCAATTTATCTCAGTCCTGAACTTCATATTATCCTCTGAGCCTTTTCCTCGTTGCACTTCAAGTGGCTCAGGTATGTGGAGTTCCTTATTCTGAAGATGAACTCCAAAACACTTAACCATATCTACTGCAGGTTCAAGGAGATCTGGAGGCAAGAAAGGGCGACCTCCTTCAGGTTTAGGAAGGGGCTTTGTAATATTTATTGTTGTATTGAGTAAATCTTGTGATACTGATGCATCATTCTGTATTGAGCCAACACAATCCTTCCACCTGTTAATTTCCTCTCTGTATTTTTTGTTCTTGAACATTTTCATATCCACCTCTTTTTGGTTATCCAAACTGCAGATTCTGGACCTTGGATAAAGAAACTGAGTACTCTCATCACCTATAAATGTAGGGGATTTAACTCCTATATGTTCATCAAGCATTTCAACTGCCTCTTTTCCATGGGGACCAGGCAATGCAACAACATCATTTAAATGTTTCCCAATAGATGGCAACAAGTGAGAATGAAAATCATGACTTCTTTTCTTGACAGCTTTATCTACTCTGTCTAAGCACTTAGCTGATATCTCTGACTGGAAAGACAGCTGCATCAGATGGATATATATTACAATAACAAAATATTCCAAATAAAATGAAGTAACATACCGGACATAAGGTGGCCATCTTCGTATTTTGCATTGGATTGGCCAGAAATTCCATACAGGAATTTTGAAGTGAATAAAATACATCCTTTACATGGGTTACCAGYTTCAAATCTTCAATAACCTGCTCCTCTCACAAGAAAAGAAACAATTAGAATGAACAACTAGATTTAAGTAAAATAAAGGAGTTCAAAATATGCATGTAAAATTTAACAACCCAAATGGAAAAGGATTTAAAAGAAACAGAGTTATCGCTGATGAGATAGGTGCAGAGAAGCATCAGTTAAAATGAAATTATTAACAGAACTTTATAATAGAAAACATAAATTAAATGCATTTTCATTATTGAACAGTATATTTTTATGGGGCACACTCTGTTAGACCTGGTTGTTTACGATTAACTAAATCTACCAGCTGAGCTTAGTTCTTAGTTCTCATTTGTTTTAGGTTAACCATTTTAACCTGAGGTTCACACAAGAACTTGCTAGCTTCACTACCATAAAAGATAACCTAGAGGCTAGAGCTAAACCAGTAGCTCAATTGGTTTATAGAATGTGAGGCAGACAGAGGTTTTCTGATGTTTAGAGATCAATGGTATTATTATCAAAGCTTGATAGTCCACTCCCCAACCCCAAGTGAGTATACCCAATTCTGAGTCTGTCATTTATTTATGTTGGTTTCAAAAATTGAGGTGCTTGTATTTTAAACCTAAGATCTGGATTTGTAACTGCTTATTCACCTAGATTTTTTTGTTTTTTTTTTATTGGCCTAAGGAATCTGGGTATTGAGAAGAATGTATACTGTACTTGGAGATAATCATGCATCAGTTTTGGCCAATACATTTAAAATGAGTTTGTAATATGTTGTGCACATGCATGAAACGTGAATGAGAAGTAAAGGACCTCAAATTAAAATTCTCTCAATGCAAAATGTACAAGTTCAAAGACATCTAACAACAAGATCCAACTCTAACTATACAGATGTAGAGAGACTGGGCCGAATGGGCCCTAATATTTGTTTTATGTTTAAGTAGTGTTCTATCTGTTTTATGAGTTAATGGGCCTGTTAACCTCATTTTAATTTCTATTAAGTTCTTGCTTTGCTGGCCGCCCACTTAAAGGGCAGACTTATAATTAGGATAATTGATTAAGATTAATAAAAGATTAGTGAAGGGAGAGAGGTATCCATCGAATTCTCTTCTTCTTTCTCTTCTTCTTCATCTTCTTCTTCTATTCTTCTGTAACCTTCGTTTCTCTCTCACTTTTCTAATTTTTAATCAGTTTTGTATCAGATTTGAAGGACAGATTCACATCTTGGTACCAGAGCAGTTCTTCCTCTTCTTTTCTTTTTCTCCTTTTTTCCCATACACCCTTTGATTAGAAGAGTGTATGGAGAGATAAGTCGCTGATCAATCAGAGGACTATTTGCCTAGTTGGTAGAGGGTTTGGAGAGTTAGAATCTGGCCGAAAATTGCCAGGAATTGAAGCTATAATTTTTCTGCCCAAAACCCTAGCTGACTATTGAAATTTCAAGTTATAGGTTAAGGAGAAGAATCGGGTGTGGCGCTCAGGGCTTGGGAGGTGTAGTTTGGTCCCCAGAAGTGTGTGGTTGAGACTTGAAGAAGGTTGGGAAGCTCTGGTAGGAGTGGCTACTTCTTTTCTCTTCCTCCCCGATAGCCAGGTGTAGTGAAACCCTAGTTTTTGAATCTCCAGGTACTATACTAACCTTAGTTAGGTTTATAAAGACTAAAAACCTAGTTTTTTTTTCGTTTGATCAATGGAGCAATCTGGAAGTGAAATGAAGCAAATGCCGGTATGCGGGGTTGGTCCGGTAGATTCCTTTTTGACTGAAGTGACCACAACTAAACTAGATGGAACCAATTATCTAGCCTGGGCATAGTCCATASGGATTTATGTTTGCAGTAGAGATAAACTAGGGTATCTCATAGGTAGTAAGGTGAAACCTGCAGAGATAGACCCTGCATATGAGAAATGGATGAAAGAGAACTACACAGTGATTGGGTGGTTGGTCAACTCTATGCTGCCCCATATAAGTCAGCATTAGCTCTGGATGACCTCAGCCAAGGAGATTTGGGACAGTGTTAGAGAAACATATTCACAGAAGTTATATGTTGCAAGAGCCTATAAGTTGAAGAGTGATGTGAACAATCTGAGACAGGGGGAGAAGAGTGTAGTAGTTTATTACTCCATGTTGAAGTCACTATGGCAAGAAATTGATGTTATGGAGACAGTTGTATGAGAGAGTACTAAAGATGTAGAGACATTTAAAAAATTGGTGGAATGAAACAGGGTGTTTGAGTTTTGTTAACAGGTGTAATATATGCACTGTTCACAGACTTAGTACCCGCAGGGGTATTTTTGTAATTCTATAGACATATTGTTATGTATGGCCAGAATAGTATAAATGCAAAGCTTCACTCGACTGAAGCTAAGTTTTGTTGAGGCCTTAACTCAGTYGCCTCTTATTCTTCTTCCTCTTCTCCTTCTTCCTTCTTCTTCTTTTCTCCTTTTCTTCTTCTTCTTGGCCTCCTGCTCAACATGGTATCAGAGCAGGTTC